CGACGGGCGGAGTGGCGGCCACCTGCCGCGAAGCCCGACCCTCACGGGCGTCCCCTGTGCAGGTTGAGGGTTTGGGGTTTAGGGTTTAGGTTTTAGGGTTTAGGGTTTGGGGAAAAGAGGACTTAGGGCTTATGGGGTTGGTTTATAGGGATTACAGAGACCTATGTGCAGGTTGAGGTTTTGGGTATTAAGCAGGACTGAAGGCGTTGTTTCATAGCGGCTCTAGGCGTTTAGGGTTAACTCGGAACCGTAAACCGGTTTAGGGCTTCGGGTTTAGGGTTTTGGGTTTAGGGCTTTGGGTTTAGGGTGGGACCTAAACCCCGAGTTGTGTGTGTTTTTTTTTGTTTTTGCGCTGGGGTTCCATGACAGGATCTTGGGTTCATGGGTTGAATCGATTTCCCCTCTCAAAGTAGATATTCTCCATTTGGGGGTGGTTCAAAGGGAACAGGAGAATCCTTCCCAAAAAGGGAACCTACCTTCTTTTTGCTTTGGGGACAGGTGGTGTGAACAAGTACCATATACCACAGATAGAAGCGTAGTTCTCTACATTAGGGTCCCTTTGGCGGTCTCTTTTAAGGGTGCCGTACTATATGTAGGACCCTTCCCAGAAACAACTACACATAGTGGATCGTTTTTGCTGTTCGTAGTTTGGGGGGGGTCAAATTTGGGGCGAGGGATTAGGGTTGCAGGGTTGTAGGGTGCAGGTTCTCAAGGTAAAAGGCTTTTGGGACGGCAGCCTGCAACCCTAAACCCTAAACCCTAAACCCTACGCCCTAAACCCACTCAAAGCAGGCAAGGCACCACGGGGGTCTTGGCCAAGTACGCTGCGCAGGCCGGTTGAGACACTCGGGGCTTTAGGCTTTAGGGTTTGGGGGCTTTAGGGTTTAGTGTTTGGGGGTTTAGGGTTTAGGGTTTGGGTTTGGGGGTTTAGGGTTTAGGGTTTGGGTTTGGGTTTGGGGGTTTAGGGTTTAGGGTTTAGGGTTTTAGGGTGTAGGGTTTTAGGGTTTAGGGTTTTAGGGTGTAGGGTTTTAGGGTTTAGGGTTGTAGGGTTTAGGGTTTTAGGGTTTATGGTTTTAAGGTTTAGGGGTTTAGGGTTTAGGGTCTAGTTTTAGGGTTTAAGGGTTTAGCGTAGTTTTGGGATTTAGGTGTATTTTGAAGGGCTTTGGCTGGTTAGAGGTTTCTTTGGGCTTTGGGTTCGGGCTTGTTGAGGGGTTTAGGGCGCAGCTTGTTTTGTCAGAGGTGGTTGGGGGTTAGGACTTGTTTTTGTAGCTTCTGCATGCTGGGAATTTCGGGGCAGGGGCGGGGGAGCGGATGAAAGGATGTTTCTTGTCCCTTCCGTGTACTTAAGATACTTAAGGGACCTTAGGGTTTAGGGGTTAGGGTTTAGGGTTTTAGGGATTGTGCATGCAGTGGCTCTGTCACTTAAAGCTGCCTTAAGCTGCTTAAGCATATAGCACCCCCCCCCCCCCCCCCCAGCCCCTCAAACCCTAAACCCTAAACCCCAAAACCCAAAACCCTAAGCCCTAAACCCTAAACCCGAAACCCAAAACCCAAAACCATAAGCCCTAAACCCTAAACCCGAAACCCTAAACCCCAAACCCAAAACCCTAAACCCCAAACCCCAAACCCCAAACCCAAAACCCAAAACCCTCATCGCTTGCTGAAGGTCAGGTCTGCCCACGTTGGGGCAACGACCTCCTGAGATCGCCTGGGTCGAAGCCGCTGTCTCTACCACGCAGCCGCTTAGGATTTAGGGTTTAGGGTTTAGGGTTTAGGGTTTGTTGCTTAGATTCAAGGGCTCAAGCTTCGGGATTTGGGACAAGGGTTTAGATTCAAGGGTTTGTTTGCCTCAGCCTCAATTCGGCCCCTTAACCCTTGATCCTAAGCCCTAAACCCTAAACCAAACCCTAAACCCCTTAAACCCGTTAAACCCCAAACCCTAGACCCTGAAGCCTAACTCTAAACCCTAAACCCTAAACCCTAAAACCCTAAAACCCTAAAACCCTAAAACCCTAAAACCCTAAAACCCTAAAACCCTAAAACCCTAAAATCCTAAACCCTAAACCCTAAACCCTAAACCCTAAACCCTAAACCCTAATAGGTGGGCACAGAAAGGCTTCACAAGCCGAGCAAGGGCAGCGTGCCCCGGTTGTTCCTGAGTGTCCAAAGTGACCTCAGAGTATCCCCTGCTGACAATGATTCAGCTATGTTAGGGTTCAGGGTTTAGGGTTTAGGGTTTGGGGTTTAGGGTTTAGGGTTTAGGGCTTAGGATCAAGGGTTTAGGTTTAGGACCGTGAAGCTTGAGCCCCCGCCAGAGCTCTAGCACCGGTATGATCCGATCCATGAAAAAGGCTCGCACGTGCATGGGGGTGTTGATCTGCTTTCTGGCTGGCACCCCAAACAACGAAGGAAGATAGATACCATACTCCATGGAAACATAAAGGGGGCCATGATTTAGATCAATTGCCAATGTAACCGCCCTTGCGCAGTGATACGTTTGGTCGCAGTATGTCGCAGTTAGCTTCGAAACAAGCCCGTTGAGCACTGAGATACCGCGCAAAGCAGCTGTGTGCCAAGAGCCTGCATGTGCCCGCAAAACTTGGCCACGGTCCACTGCTGCACACGTCAGGGATCTTATGTCAGCCCATACAACATGAGTATGTGTTGCCGCAGGAGTGAACATGCCTGCTTTCGCCGAGCACAGACCTGATGTCAAGCCACCCTCGCGTGGATGAAAGCCCCCAAAGACCCAACACCCCTTCATTGAGGAACATACCTTAAATCATACTATTCAGGATCCCTTTGTGATTTTCGGTATATGTCTCAATTAAGGAAGATACCTTTAAATCACATTAAGGATCCCTTGATAATTTTAGTTAAGGGGTGTGTTGGGCTCTTCGCGCTTCCGCAGGTACATCGTGTCCATCTGAACGATCCGAAGCTGCACCACCTCGACTTCGCCTGCTTCCGCGTTCCTCCCGGCTGGGGAGCCGAGGATCCTATGGCAGCTTGGGTTTAGGGTTTAGGGTTTAGGGTTTGGGGTTTAGGTTAGGGTTCAGGGTTTAGGGTTTAGGGTTTGGGGTTTGGGGTTTAGGGTTTAGGGTTTGAGCATCCCCCAACCAGGGGGGGGGGGGGGTACTGGGGCCATAAGCAGGCAGTTTCTGAAGTACCCGGAGCCAGGGGCTTCAATGGACTTCCCCTTAGGGAGGCGTGTGAGGCAGAAAGCCCACACACAAAAAACCCTGCACTCCGCAAACTTTGCACCCGGCAGCCCTGGGCAACACCCTCTTCCCAAAACCCCGAACCCCACTTGAAGGTTCATGGGTGCTTATAACCCCAATTCTAAGTCTACTTACAGCCTACTTGGAGAAACTTAGGGGGCTTATAGGTACAGTTATAATTGGGGTTATAAGTACCCATGAACCTCTCAACCTTCACCTCGACTTCCAAGTCAATCACCCAAACCCCAGAAGTCCTGCATCCAAACCCCACCCTGAATCTGAAGCCCTGAACCCGGTAGACCCTAAACCCTAAACCCTAAACCCTAAACCCTAAACCCTAAACCCTAAACCCTAAACCCTAAACCCTAAACCCTAAACCCTAAACCCTAAACCCTAAACCCTAAACCCCTGTAAGCCCTGTGAGGCGAGCAGGAACCCAGGCGGGCATTCATCCTCTTGGCCGTCCACTGTGCTTCTCGTGCACTTGTACTTCCTACATGGGCCCAGAGTTGGGGTTTAGGGTTTAGGGTTCAGGGTTCGAACTTAGGTTTAGGATTGGGCTTCTAGAGGTATCTTGCAAGTATTGCGATTGACTGCATGAAGCCCTCAACCCTGAGGCCCCAAACATCCCCAACCATGCTCAGTTACCCTAAACCCGAAACCCTAAACCCCAAACCCCAAACCCCAAACCGCAGCTTGGCCGGTCCTGCCAGATCGCAAGCTCTAAGGAAGACATGGCCCATGGCCGGCGCACTAAATGCGTACAGGGTAAGAGCCACAGGTCAAGATGCTGAGGATTTTTAGGACTCAGACATGAGGGGTTTAGGGTTTAGGGTTTAGGGTTTAGGGTTTAGGGTTTAGGGTGATTCTAGAGGGGTTTAGGGGTTAGGGGTTTTGCTGACTTAGGACTCAGCTGAGGGGTTCAGGGCTTTAGGGTCTCGGGGTTCAGGGTCTAGGGGTGTTTTGCTGCTTTAGGAATCAGGGCCCCAATGTCGACGCCTATGTCCCTGGCTCTTGGGCGGATGACGCCGCGCACTGCCAAGGCCCAGGCCCCTTTGAGGTGTCAGAGTTGCAACTGTTATCCGACTAGGTGCTGGCCAGGTTCTGCGCGGTAGGTGCATGAGTATTGTGAGGCTGTAGGCATAGAAAGTTGCGGAAAAGCCTACGAGCTCAGAGCATCGGGGGGGAAGTGAGGCCCGGCGAGAAGAAGCAGGAGCATGAAAATCTCACCGGTGTCTAGCTGGTATGGCGAGAGCAGGGAGTAGCATTGGGTTCGTGCCAGGCGAGTTCGCCGCGCCCGGGCCCTACGCTCAACGAGCCGGTCACGCAGGTTGGGGGTAACCCTAAACCCTAAACCCTAAACCCTAAACCCTAAACCCTAAACCCTAAACCCTAAACCCTAAACCCTAAACCCTAAACCCTAAACCCTAAACCCTAAACCCTAAACCCTAGCTCCAACGGTGCAGGGAGCCAAGCGCGCGGCTTGGACTCCCTCCCCGGCCGAGGAGCGCGCCGTGTCCGTGCTTCAATGGTTGGGGACGGCAGGGTCCCTAAAAGGGTTTGGGGTTGAGGGTTTCGGGGTTTCGGGTTTAGGGTTTAGGGTTTAGGGTTTAGGGTTTAGGGTTCAGGGTTTAGGGTTTAGGGTCTCGGGTTTAGGGTTTAGGGTTTGGGTACCCCGTTTATACCCCAAATAGAATAGAATCCCCTTAAAGGGACCCCCCAAGAGGGTACCCCCTATGTTCGGAAACCTTAGGGTTTAGGGGCCATACCGCAACATAAATGGCTGAGATCACGGCTGCCTCCTGCGAGGACGAGGAGGGAGACTCGCATCGCAGCGCCTCCTCGCGCACGGCTTCCCCGGAGGAAGTGACCACCACGGCGGCCGCATCGGCTCTGGCGCCCGGTCGCGCAGAGCCCGTGGCCAGGGATGCCCGCCGGGCCCAGCTGCGTGTGGAGCCCGTTGCGAGGCCCGCGCCCGTGAGCTGATGGCACTGTGCCGCGAATGAAGTCTGTAATTGAAGATGAACTGTTTGCAGCAGGATCTGCCCCACTAAAGCTAGAGATGTCAGAAACCTTTGAGTGAGAAGTGTTTGGGGAATCGAAGAGGCTGGGGATTCTCTTAAGGGCGGAGTCGTGCCAGTGACATGTCCAGGATCGAGTTGGGTAGTTCGATCGCATGCAGTCGTGACATTCACGGCTACACTGCTACAGGCGAAGCCTTCGCCGGTCAGTATGTCTGACAATAGCGAGAGCGGGGTATTCTTGCAACCTTGTCACTACTTTCCAACCCGCCCCTTGTCCTTCCAACCCACCCCTGGCCGCTTCAATGAACAGCTGCATCAGAAGCTCAGATAATCAGCCCCTGTAAACAAGTCAACCGAAACTTGCGACATCCACGACAGCCCAAAAGCCATATAAATCGAGAGGAGTTATGCGAGAAAGCCACCCTCCCCCAAACCCACTAGCAACCCCAAAGCCCCTAGTCGCACGAGCGTCATGCCATCTCTGATGTGTCTGAAGGCCTCTGGAGCGACCTGCGGCCAAAGTCTCCTTCCGTCCGCCCGAGCGACAGCCTGTAAGGTCGGCGCCAGTTTGTACTCGTCTAGGGCCTAGGGTTTAACTACTATTTTCTTAAAGCCCCCCCCCAAAAAGTAAAAAACTATACTATATATCGCTTCCAAGGGAAATTGTTTAAGTGTTTTTTTTCTGGGGGCGGGGGGGTTCTTAAGCAAGTATAAACATCTCTCAAGGCCCCAAGCGCGAAACCCCAACATCGCGAAGTGCCGCGAGGTCGAGCCCCGCGGCTCCCTCGACGGGCCGGCCGGTCGTGGCCCCCTCGGTAGACGCCGCGGAGGCCTGTGCTAAGGGGTTGTGTGTGGGTTTAGAGTTTCTGTATGCTGGGTACCTTTAAGCATCGAACCCCTTTACAAAAAGTATACCAATGGAGAGCAAGATCGCATGTGAGTAGCTCGTACACTAAACCCTAAACCCTAAACCCTAAACCCTAAACCCTAAACCCTAAACCCTAAACCCTAAACCCTAAACCCTAAATCTTGGGTCCTTGTCTCGGTGTGTCTGTGGACATGGAGAGCGTGTGCACGCAGCCAGCCGGGCCCCGCAAGCTCTTAAAGGAAGGATGGACCTTCAGTCAACCCTAAGCCCCAAAAGGGGTTTAGGGTTTAGGGTTTAGGGTTTAGGGTTTAGGATTTAGGGTTTAGGGTTTAGGGTTTAGGGTTTAGGGTGCCCTATATGTTCTTGCAAGACCCTCTGTGCCCAAACCCTGAACTCTGAATCCTCAACTCCAAACCCTCAAATCCGGAACGAACCTCGAGCCCCTAAACGCGGTATGTCCTAAACCCTGAACCCTAAACCCTAAACCCTGAACCCTGAACCCTAAACCCTAATCCCAAAACCCTAAACCCTAAACCCTAAACCCCTTCGACCCCAAAGCTTGCGCTCCTTTCCCAGGATGCAGAGAGGCCCTTGCGCCTGCGCATACAGAGCCTGGAGACCAGGGTGGAGGTCGGGGGCGTAGTGGGACTTAGGGCGTTTGGGGGTGTGGGGTTAAGGGTTTAGGTTTTAGGGTTGGGGGTTTAGGTTTTATGGGCTTCGGGTTTAGGGGTTTAGGGTTAGCAGTTTCGGGGTGAGCGTGTGTAGGCCTGTGCAGCCCAGTGAGTTGCATGAGACGTGAGAGTGAGCCTATCGCGCGCCTTTGGCAAGACCATGGAGAATCACATCAAGCGCCTGGAGGCCCGGCGCATGTTGTCTTGCACTTGGCGCTTTGTTAGCGGAAGGGATGCCCCGATGCCCTTTTGCCACTTCGACTCGATGAGATTTGGGGGTTTACGAACATACGGGACCCCAATATAGACCCCGAAATAGTAGGGTTCCCTTAGAAAAGGGACCCCAATAAGGTACCCCTAAAGTCGTAAACCCCCACGTGTCCGATCACCTCCATCCTACCCAGCGTGTGCAGGCAAAGCTGAGCCGCGAGCTGGGCGCCCCAGAAAGTTTTGTAGCGTTGCTGGGGTTGCCGCATGTAACCAGGGTTTACTACTATTTCCTGAAGAACCCCCCCAAAATTGACAAAATAGTAATCCCTAGTCTAAGGAAAAGTGTTTTTTTTTTTTGAGGGGGGGGAGGTTCTTACTTAAGCAATTTGTGGTTTAGGCTTTAGGTTTCGGGTTTTAAGGGTAAGCCGAGGCTCGAGGACTGCCGGAAGACCCAGGCGGCGCAGGCTGCGCAGGCCTCGCAGGCCTCGCAGGAGGTGCAACTGGAGTGGACGGAACGCACCCTATAAACTCGAAACCCTACTGTAAACCTTAACCCTAAACTAAAAAAGCCTAAGCCCTAAACCCTAAACCCTAAACGCTAAACTCCTAAAGCCTAAGCCCTAAACCCTTAAGCCTAAACCCTAAACCCTAAACCCCTAAAGCCTAGAACCCTAGAACCCTATAGAACCCTATAGAACCCTATAGAACCCTACAGAACCCTACAGAACCCTACAGAACCCTAGAACCCTACAGAACCCTACAGAACCCTACAGAACCCTACAGAACCCTACAGAACCCTACAGAACCCTACAACCCTATAGAACCCTAGAACCCTATAGAACCCTAGAACCCTATAGAACCCTAGAACCCTATAGAACCCTAGAACCCTATAGAACCCTAGAACCCTAGAACCCTATAGAACCCTAGAACCATATAGAACCCTAAACCCTAAACCCTAAACCCTAAACCCTAAACCCTAAACCCTAAACCCTAAACCCTAAACCCTAAACCCTAAACCCTAAACCCTAAACCCTAAACCCTAAACCCTAAACCCTAAACCCTAAACCCTAAACCCTAAACCCTGAAACCCTGAACCCTGAACCCTGAACCCTGAACCCTGAACCCTGAACCCCTGAACCCTGAACCCTGAACCCTGAACCCTAACCCTAAACCCTAAACCCTAAACCCTAAACCCTAAACCCTAAACCCTAAACCCTAAACCCTAAACCCTAAAACCCTAAAACCCTAAAACCCTAAAACCCAAAACCCTAAACCCCTAAAGCCTAGAACCCTAGAACCCTAGAAGTGTAGAACCCTATAGAACCCTAGAACCCTAGAACCCTAGAACCTAGAAACCCTAAACCCTAGAACCCTAAATCCTAAACCCTAAACCCTAAACCCCAAACCGGCCCAAACCTTAAACCCTAAACCCTGAACCCTAAACCCTAAACCGTTTCGAAGCCTTCCCCCCAGGAGGTGTGGGACGAGATGTCGGCGAGGCTCCGCTTGGAGGCTACCCGCGGATGCGGAAAGACAGCAGGGTTTAGGGTTTAGGGTTTAGGGTTTAGGTTTTAGGCTTTAGGGTTTAGGGTTCTATCAGGTAGGCATGTTCCCCCGTGTACTAACAGTCCTAAATGGGGATTATAATAGAGGGTACTAGAATCCCTTTGAAGGACCCTTAGTATAAGGGGGTACATCCCAAGTGGGAATTCGTACTTGTATCTACTACTTGCTGAAGAACCCCCCCCCAAAGATAGAAAGAAAGTAGTCCCCTTATTCCCCTTATGACGAAGAATGTCTTTTTCTTTTTTTGGAGGGGGGGTGTGTGTGTGCTTAAGCAACAGTAGACATCGAAGTATCAACGCTATAATGCTTGCCAGTCTGATTCTGATCGTACGAAAACAATAATTATAATATATATATATATACATACTAAATAAACAATAAACAAATAAATATAAACAAATAGATAAATATAAATCAATATGTATATATATATATATACATATATATATATATATACTAGTATTAACAGTAGGAATGGTCCCCCACCCTCTCCCTGTAAAGCAAAACTCGCTCTGTTCCGCGAGGTGGCGACGCAGGCTGCCCGCCTGGCCTCCAAGACGGAGGAGCAGCTGGCATCTGCGGATCGGCAGTTGGCCCTCAGAGGGCCTCCTGTGTTTTCTTTTTGGGGGTTTAGGGTTTAGGGTTTAGGGTTAGGGTTTAGGGTTTAGGGTTTAGGGTTCAGGGTTTAAGGGGGGGGGGAGGTGGGGGAGGGTGGTGGGGGTGGTTTGGGCTTAATGAGCCATGTGGAGCCTAAGCATCGTGTGGGGTTTGAGGTGCTGGGCTTACAGCGCGAGGTTTTGAGTCGTGGCTGAGGCTGACAGAGATACTCAGCAAGGCGCATGCGCTGCTTCAGCAAACTGCGGCCCAAGTCGAGGAGCAATGCATGTCCAGGCCGGGGGCATCAAGGCAATTTCAAAGCAGGCTTAGGGTTTATAGGTTTAAGGAATTTAGTACTTCTCAAAGCAGGGTTAGGGTTTATAAGGTTTAGGGTTTTGGCAGGGTCATTTTGGGGGCCGGTACAGCCGCTCTCTTCTTTGCACTGTCGCCCGTGTGCAGGCTGTCGCGACGTAGCAGCCAGCTCTTGCAAGAGATGAAGGGGCTTCAAGGCACCGGCCCTAAACCCTAAACCCTAAACCCTAAAACCCTAAACCCTAAACCCTAAACCCTAAACCCTAAACCCCAAACCCTAAACCCTAAACCATGCTCAAGGATCGGGTGCGGCGAACATTTTCGCGCACCCCCCTAAGACCCCAACACCCCCTTCAAGAGCCCAAGAGCCCTTTAGGAATGTGCCTTACATCATATAGGGATCCCATGGTATGATTTTGGTATATTCCTTAATCAAGGCCTTGAATCATAAGGGATCCCTTCGTATGATTTTGGGTATATTCCTTAATCAAGGCCTTACATCATATAGGGATCCCTTCGTATGATTTTGGGTATGTTCCTTAATCAAGGCCTTGAATCATAAAGGGATCCTTGGTATGATTTTGGGCATCTTCCTTAATCAAGGCCTTGAATCATAAAGGGATCCTTCGTATGATTTTGGGTATGTTCCTGGGCTCTCCGGGCCCCTCCTAAACCGAGACTAGGACGAAGCTCCCTGAGCCCCTCTGGGTCGGTGGCAGCCAGAGGCACCTTTTGGGGATGTAGCAGCCCTGAATGGGGTTTAGGGTTTAGGGTTTAGGGTTTAGGGTTTAGGGTTTAGGGTTTAGGGTTTAGGGTTTAGGGATTAGAGTACCCCCTGAATAGAATCCCCCAACAAAAAGGAGCTCTTAGGATAAGGGGGGAGGGCAGCCCAGAGGCGCCTTCATCTCGGAGCAGAGGCGCCCCGCCCCCAGCAGAGTCGTGCCTGAGGAGGCCAGCCGAGGGTTCAGGGTTTAGGGTTTAGGGTTTAGGGTTTAGGGTTTAGGGTTTAGGGTTTAGGGTTTGGAGGCTTTCGTTTTTTTTTTGGGGGGGGTTTTTGGGGTTGAGGACCTCGATCCTGATGGTGGGGAGTGTGGTGGCCCAGGAAGCCATCAGGCCCTAAATCAGGCTTTGTCTCCTAAACCCCCAAGCCCCTAAACCCCTAAACCCCTAAACCCCTCAACCCAAAACCCCAAAACCCCCTAAACCCCAAACCTCCCCGTCTCCAAAGCAAGATGTGGGACCAGTGGAGAACCCACCCCTAAGCCCTAAGCCCTAAGCCCTAAACCCTAAACCCTAAACCCTAAACCCTAAACCCTAAACCGGTTGACGGAGGTACCGGTCTCGCCCCGGTATCCAGGCCGGGGCCGCGGCGCGAGAAAGGGTCTGGGGGTTCCTGGTTTGGTTCAGGGTTTTGGGGGTTTAGGGTTTAGGGTTTAGGGTTTAGGGGTTCCGGGTTTGAGGGTTTAAAGGGTTTAGGGGCTCAGGGTTTGGGGGGTTTGGGGTTTTGGGATTTCGGGCTTAGGGTAAAGTCCATCAAGCGGTGGGAAAAAAGATTCCCAGGCTTGGATTTTCGAGATCCTAAATTCGGAAATTGGGTTGAGGATAGTATGGGATCACGTGATGTTGTCCCTGAGGGACCTCTCAACCCTCCGAACCATCAAAACCTGCAAAGATTGAAACCCTCAAGGCCTCGAACGCTAGACCTAAACCCTAAACCCTACCCATAAAACAAAAACCCCAAACCCCCAAACCCCCAAACCCCCAAACCCCAAACCCCAAACCCCAAACCCCAAACCCCAAACCCGAAACCCCAAACCCCAAACCCCAAACCCCAAACCCCAAACCCCAAACCCTAAACCCTAAACCCTAAACCCTGAACCCTGAACCCTGAACCCTGAACCCTAAACCCTGAACCCGGCCCGCAGGACTCTGGCCAACAGACTGGCAGGGCCACCCAGCGCAGCCCAGCGACACGCCCAGGGCCCCCAGCCAGGTCTTCCAGAGCGATGCAAGGCCGGACTCAGGGTTTAGGGTTTAGGGTTTAGGGTTTAGGGTTTAGGGTTTAGGGTTTATTGTTTAGGGTTTAGGTTGTAGGGTTTGATTTAGGGTTTAGGGTTTTAGGGTCTTAGGGTCTTAGGGTCTTAGGGTCTTAGGGTTTGAGGGTTTGAGGGTTTAGGCTTCAGGGTTCCGGTTGTAGGGATTTTTGGGTTTAGGGTTTGGGGTTTTAGGAGGGCTTTTGGGTTTTAGGGTGTCTTGTTTCCAAACCCAGCATTCCAGAGCTCCGAAAGATGCCAGGTACTGGGAGGGCCCGCAGGCGGGCCTGTGCAGGTTTCGGGTTTAGGGTTTAGGGTTTAGGGTTTAGGGTTTAGGGTTTAGGGTTCGGGTGAGTATTCATACCCAAAGAGCCCAAGAGTCTGAATATGACTACTTCGTCCGGATACCCCCCTAAACCCTAAACCCTAAACCGTAAACCCCCCAAGCCCTGACCCCCTGAACCCTTGAAACCCTCAAACCCGGAACCCCTAAACCCTAAACCCTAAACCCTAAACCCTAAACCCTAAACCCTAAACCCTAAACCCTAAACCTTAAACCCTAAACCCTAAACCCTAAACCCCCAAACCCTAGACCCTAATATAGAGCTCTCTGGCGACCAGGTGCCTCCCATCATGACCTCGGGTCGCGCCATCCACACTCCCAGGCCTGAGCTGGCATCTTCTGGGTGTAGGGTTTAGGGTTTAGGGTTTAGGGTTTAGGGTTTAGGGTTTAGGGTTTAGGGCTTGAGCTACCATACTTTTGAGCTCTGGTCCCCCAACTCCCCGAGAAACTGCACAGGGCGGAGGTGACCTTGCTGGAGCCCATCGGCCGATCAAGTCTGCGCCTGAGCCATTGCCTTCACAAGGATCATGGGGTTTAGGGTTTAGGGTTTAGGGTTTAGGGTTTAGGGTTTAGGGTTTAGGGTTTAGTACTATATGACATAAGTTACATACCTCAGCAAACATCCGTACTTTACTTGACCCTACGCTAAAGGCCTACCCCTAAACCCCTAAACCCCTAAACCCCTAAAACCCCTAAAACCCTAAACCCCTAAACCCCTAAACCCCTAAAACCCCTAAAACCCCTAAAACCCCTAAACCCCTAAACCCCTAAACCCCTAAACCACTAAATCCCCTAAAACCCCTAAACCCCTAAACCCCTAAACCCCTAAAACCCCTAAAACCCCTAAAACCCCTAAACCCCTAAACCCCTAAAACCCCCAAAACCCCCAAAACCCCTAAAACCCCTAAAACCCCTAAAACCCCTAACCCCTTACCCCTAAAACCCTTTACCCCTAAACCCCTTTACCCCTAAACCCCTAAACCCCTAAACCCCTAAACCCCTAAACCCCTAAACCCCTAAACCCCTAAACCCCTAAACCCCTAAACCCCTAAACCCTAACCCTACACCCCAACCTCTAAACCCTCAACCCTCAACCCTCAACCCTAAGCCCTAAACCCTAGACCCTAAACCCTAAACACAAACAGGTCGACCTGGTCAGGAGCCCCTGACCTCCAGTGCAGGCCCGGCACTCAGAACTGAGTCCGCAGACGCTCACGGGCATCGACCTCTATAAAGCCCTACTTGGAGGGTCATGGTACTTAGTAGCCCAATTATAACGGTACTTATAACCCAAGTATAGCTCTATTGGGGTACTTAAGGAGCTCATGTGGGTTACAACTGCACTTATACGGGTTGCTAAGTACCCTGAACCTCCGAGTATGAAGCCCTAAACCATCCTAAACCCCCCAAAGAGCCCAATATCCCTTCATTAAGAAATATCCCTTAATTTCGAGAGGGGATCCTTAATATGATTCCTTACTTAAGGGGCATTGGGCTCTTTGGGCCCTGCAAGCCCCTAAGCCTAAACCCTCCCTCTCCAGGTTGGTGACGCCTCAGCGAAGCCTGCAGCGCGCGGGCAGTACCATACAAAAAGGGCTGCTCCCCCATCCCTGCCCGCCCCTGCCATTCTTGGATGCTGGACATCCCCTCAAGTCCTCGCCGGTGTAACCCAAAATCCAGAAGCCCCCTTAAACCCTAAACCCCCAAAGCCCCCAACCCCCCCCCCCCCCCCCCCCCCCCCAAAAAAAAAAAAAAAAAACAGAACCCCTAAACACTCCCAACAATCCCTGAAAACTCGTTCTCCTACCCGTGCGGCAAGCCTCCCCTAAACCCTAAACCCAAAACCCCCTAAATCCAAAACCCTAAGCCCCAAACCCCAAACCCTAAACCCTAAACCCTAAACCCTAAACCCTAAACCCTAAACCCTAAACCCCAAACCCCAAACCCCAAACCCCTGCAGCAGGATCCTGCCGAAGCTCTTCAAGGCCCTGGCCGGGAACACGCACCTCAAGGATCTGCGGCCCTGGCGCGCTTAGGGTTTTTGAGGGTTTTTAGGGTTTAGGGTTTAGGGTTTCGGGTTTAGGGTTTAGGGTTTAGGGGTTGAGGGGTTGAGGGGTTGAGGGGTTGAGGGTTCTGAGGGTTCTGAGGGCTCTGAGGGCTCTGAGGGTTCTGAGTTTAGGGTGTTTTTTTTGTTTGAGGGTCTCTTAGGGTATACGGGGTTTTGCGAGGTATGGGCCTAAGGCCTAGCACTCTAGGGGTTTTGGGGGTGGAAGGGTCTTAGGAGTGTTTCGTGTTTTTGTTGGGGTTCATTGTCAAGGCCTACGAGGGCTTTTAGGGTTTAAGGGTTGGTGGAGTTATCTTTTGTTTGCTTGCTTTTGCGGCTTAGGGGTTTAGGAGGTTTAGGGGTTCAAGGGCTTTCGCTAGAAATGCAGAGGCGGCAGAGAACTAGTGACCAAAAAGTGTCGCAAGAAGTCCCCCAAGCACCCAAGAACCTCGCAGCGAGGCTTCTGGGAAACACGGGCCTGCTCTCCAGCGAGGCATGCTTGCCTTCCTTCCCTGCGCTTCTATAGTGTCCCAATATGTTGTTTTTTTTGGCTGATATAAAGAAGCCCAAGGAAATATCGAACCTACTCTTCTTGTTGTGGCAGAGTCTGTGGCTTTAGCAGTGGTGTGGAACTTCAATTCGGGGGCCCCGGCAAGGGGGGGGGGAGGGCTTCGAAGCCCCGAAAATCCGGCCTTGAGGGCCAGATCGCTCCGGCCGCCCTTTTCCAGCTCAGAGGGGCTTTGCTGTAGCCACCCATAACCCGCAGAAGAAGGGCTTAGGGTTTAGGGTTTAGGGTTTAGGGTTTAGGGTTTAGGGTTTCAGCCAGAGTACGGTGCTGAGCCTACCGAACCATCCAGCCATGCTTAGGGCTTCCAAGTTGGGGGGGAGCCTCGCAGGTGTCGGATTGCCATGGCTCGGGTTTACACGTAATCTATGTTTGTAATGATACCTGTCGTATTAAGATTCTGAATGCAAACAGTTTGCAGCCAATGTGTGTGCATATGTATATATATATGCTTGTACATACATACATACATACATACATACATACATGGGGCTTAGAGTTGCCAAAGCTCCGAGCCCTTTGTAGCCATCCCCCGCGCGCCTTCTG